AAAAAAAAAAAAAACCAAGTCATCAAAAAAATCTGAAAAAGAGATATGTTATGGAGAAAAATAAAATAAACAAGATTTGCCTGAGCATTACATCCGAATTCCTTACCAAATTTGAAATAAAAATAAAATACGGAAAACAAATACTAATAATAAAAATAAATAAAAATAAAAAGAGAATAAAATTTATTGAGTGCGCGAGCATGTTTTCAACACCGCCATCTTTGGCGATTTTTCATTTTTTTTTTGGCACAGCTAAATGCCCTGAAAATTTACAGATTTGTACTTCACATAATACAAAACCCACTAAAAAAGTTTCAAAAAATAATAAAATTGTTTAAACCCCGAACTAGAGTGAAAACCAAAAGAAAAAAGTGAAAAATAAGTGGGCGAGCACGTTTTGACACTGCCATCTTTGGCGATTTTTAATTCTTATTTGGCTTAGCCAAATGACTTGAAAATTTACAGGCATGTACCTCACGTCATAGAGAACTCACAAAAAAACAATTCAGAAAAAAATTATTATTTTTAGGCCCCAAAATAATTTTTGGCGGGGGCCGAACGCCGCCGGGTTCGGACCCCGTATATATATATATACCGGACAGTTCTGTTTGTGACGATATATATATATATATCGCCATATATATATATATATATTTGCCTATTTTTAGGCCCAGAAAAAATCCCGGGGTATCATGCCCGCACTCTGCCGCAGACGGGATCCCGACTGCGGGTGGTAAAATGGCCCGCGGTAGCGACCGCGGGTTATACATAGGTTCTATTGTGATGGGACTCTGGACCCGGTTTCCAGATAAGCGTAATCTGGGTAATGGCCCCAGTGTTCTCCCGGGTTGAATTGTGAGGTCCCCGGCCTCCATTTCATATCATTTAATAAAGGTACAAACTTCCCAAACAAAAAAAAAAAAACAAAAAAAAAATGGTATACACAGATGAGTTGGTGGAAACAAGAAAGCAAAAAAGTTGGTGCAAGCCCCCTATGAAATGGTCTGTCAGAGGCCCCTGCCCTGTTGTCCCCACTGTACACCACCCACTTCTCTGAAATTCACCCTATTAATGGTGTTGCGGCCCAATGACAGCGGCCGTTTGTTCTTTTCTCTTCGCATCTGTTTTGGCTCCTCTTCGCGTGTGACATAGGGCCTCGCCGGACGGTAGAGTACACGAACAAAAAAACGATTTCGTTTCGTGAACGCACCGCCGCATAGCACCCACGCGATTGTGGTCAGAATCAACTCGCAAACGCTGTCAGATTCTCCGTTCGCGAGGTTTTTCCGGTTCACAACTCGTCCCCGCCTGCAACTCGCGAGAAGTCACGGGTCGTCGGTGAGGATGGTGGAGGCCCTGTGGATTCTCGCGAGTTCACCGCAAATGTCCAACCCGTGTCCGGCCAAATTCTTGGACCGTAGTCGGCGTAGTGCTTGCCAGCCTCAGGGAAACATTTGTCCGTTTGCCATCAGGGCATGGCTGCGTGGATATTCACGTGTGCTGTGCGGCGGCGAGCACAGAAACGAGGCGAAACGGTGGAATAGGGCCTCGTGAGCCCTCGCGAGTTAGGAGGTCGTTTCGTTTCGTTTTTCTTACCGTCGGGCAAGGCCCATAGGGCCTCACCGGACGGTGCAAGAAAAAAAACTAGTTCGTTTCGTGAACGTCTCGCAGCACAGTCAAGAAACGAAAACTTTCAGGAGGAAGTCGCGAAGTGTGTCAGATTCGCAATTCGCAAGCCTCCGCACGTGCCCCTTCCATGCCCGCCTGCAACTCGGGAAAAGTCGTAGGTCCTCCGAAGGTCTGCTCGTGGAGCTGCGAATCCACGCGAGTGCAGCAAGTCAGTCCAAGGGATGCAGCACGTCGGTCCAAGGGATGTCGATCCAAAAACAAATTAGCATTTGCGAAAGTCGGGCACCTCAACACTCGCCGGGCCGTTTCCGCGAGTGATTTCGTGCCGTGCGGGGGTGGTGTAACAAACGAAACGAAACCTTGGTTTTCGGCCTCGCGAGGCCTGGCGAGTTTCAAGGTCGTTTCGTTTCGTTTTTTGCACCGTGGGCCTCGCTGCACTACTCTCGAAATGTGCAAAACGAGAGTGAGTGAATCTTCCGCTAGAATATGGAAAGATGCACGGCCATTATTTTTGTCTTTTGTGCATGTCGAGAGTAGTGCTGCACCACTCTGGAAATGTGCCCGCTAGAATATGAAAAGATACATGGCCATGATTTTTGTCTTTTGTGCATGTCGAGAGTCTGCAGCGAGGCCCACCCACATTCACCTTGATTTTGAAATCCACATGCTCAGCACCTTCCGTTGCTTGTGCACCAAGATCTGACGACTATCTGCATCCGATGTCTACCTGAGAGCAGCTACATTTCTTCTGTGGTTCAGAGCTATCCGTAGATTCCGTACTCTACCATTGTACTTACGCTGTGAGAGGTAAAAAATCCTCCACGACATTCTTATTCTCAACGTCAAGTCTACTTCTCGAATGCTCTTCAGAATGCTCTTCAGAATGCTCTTCAAATTCTTTGAACGTTTTTGTTTGCGTGTTGTGTGACATCACTGACATGACGTCCGAGCGCTGACCTTCTATCCCATTGCTGCCGGCCTCACCTGGAGACTGCACGTGGTCATTAATATTCTGTACTCGGGCCATATTTCAGACTAGATACTAGAGCAACAATGACCAGGCAATTCCATTCTATTCAGGTGAAGACGGTAGTCGGATCACAGCCCTGATAGAGCGACGCCCTAAGTGTGAGACTCAGTATATTCCCTGGGGCTGCGGATAATAGCAGTGCGTTCTATTCGGGAGAAGACGGTTGCGAGACTATGGAGATGGTGCTTCCATCGCACTCGAAACAAAGAAATAGGGCGTCGCTGCACTACTCTCCACATGCACAAAAGACAAAAAATATGGCAATGTATCTTTCCATGTTCAAGCGGAAGATTCATTCTCATTTTGCACAGTTGGAGAGTAGTGCAGCCAGGCCCATGCCTTCACAAACTCACGGGCTGCATCCGTAGTAGATTTGCTCTTTCCAGTGTTACAAAACCTTTGTTTCCTTTCTTTTTTCTTTTTCTAAGAAAAGGGCGGCCGCAGTCTTGAGACTAATAAGAAAACAAAACAAAAGAACGAAGAACGAGAAGAAGAAGAAGAAGAAGAAGAAGACAGGTGTTTCAGTGCACATCCCTCTGTATCCGTACTTCTTTGGACAAGCATTCCAGGCACATGCCAACTAGGTAGTTATATATCGTCAAATATCGTCACAAACAGAACTGCCCGGTAAACCGTAGGCAGAGAGAGAGAAGAGGACAACAAACGAGGGGCTGTGACAAACTGTTTCGTCGGAGTTTCACCGACTCGTCAGGAGGCTGAACCCTCAACAGTCTGCAGAGTCCCCTCACTGATTACACTGTAAATGATAATCTACCTTAACCAAAATCAAAGTAGACTATCACTCACCCACACCAGATGGAAAACTCTACAGACTGTCGGTTCACACCCCATCACAAGCAACAACCAAGCAAAACATCCACGAAACAAAGAAAGGTCTGTCACAGCCAAAAAATACACTCCAGACACGCCGCTGGCACTAGAGGCACAGCATGGCCGCCTAGTAACGGGCCCGATATATATACATATATATATCGTCACAAACAGAACTGCCCGGTAAACCGTAGGCAGAGAGAGAGAAGAGGACAACAAACGAGGGACTGTGACAAACTGTTTCGTC